CACAGGCTGTGGTCGACTCTGGCCCTGCCTGGCTCCCAGCCCTCCTCCCCCTGCCAGCACTCCCCTCACAGTAGAGCCCCTGCCCTCTCAGCAGCCCTGCCTGGGGGTCTGTGCAGCCAGAGTCCAAGGCAAGGGAGAAAGAAGCCTGACAGGAGGAGTCATCTCAGTGCTCTGGGGCTGGGTTCCTAGGGCAGGTCCCCTCCCAGCTCTGGGCCTCATCCTTGGTGTGAGGAGTGTGGTGGGCAGATGATCCAACCCACTGGGACCCCACGCAAGGGCACAGGCACCTCTTGGGCCCAAACCTGCTCAGCTTGTGAGCACCAGCCCCTTCCTGGTGGCAGCCCTCCGGCTGTGGGGGGCTGGGATGGGGAGGGGGGAGGGGCTGAGTTGGTGGACATGGGGTCCTTTGGGACCTTCTATCTGTCTCCTTGGTGACCCCCAGCCCAATGCCTTGGATTCTGCACACTCGACTCCCTGGAGCCATGGGGTAGGGAGGCTGTATATCTGGACACATATGTCACTACTGCCCAAGGTCACACCTGAGAATGTGTCTGGGCAGCTGCTCACCCCAGCCTGAGTCAACTGCATGAGGACCACGCTCTGACCAAGACCCCAGGTGGAGCCCAGGGGCTGGAAAGAATGTCCCTAACAGAGGACATGGAAGCTCCCAGCAGGCTGGCCTGGTTCTGGCTCTGGAATCCTCCGGGGCCCTGAGTCCTGCCTGCTGGAGAATTTCCCCGTGTCCCTGGGACCACAGTCAGGAGGGGAGGAACGGGGCTGCAGGAGCCAAGCCTTCTCTTGCTCCCAGGGAGGGGCAGGGATGTGTGGATACCCACCCCAAGGAGACAAGGGGCTGCCTTCTCATGGGTCCCTGGTGACCAGGGACATGCTGGCAGCTTGCTGGTAGAGGAACATGGGCCAGGTTGGGGAGGGCCAGGGCCGGGGCTCAGGCTGGGCCGTGTCTGGAATCATCTGGCACCTGGAGCCTCAGCAAAGCCTTGGGGTCCCTGCTCCTCTCAATCCCCAGAGCCGTGTCCGTGGGAGGCGGGTTCAGAAGGGCCAGGGTGAGAGAACACGGCCCTGAGCCTGGTCATTGGAGCGGGGTCATGGGTACCTGGTTGTCCTTGGGGCCCAGAGAAAGCTGAGGTCAAGGCTGCAGAGAGCCGAGGAGTAAAGCTGCCAGAGCCAGCAGCTTCCTGTGTGGTCCTTCCAGGCAGGGACGGGGAGGGGGAGGCGTCTATGGCAGCCGTAGCGTGGCCTTGGGGAGACCAGTAGGGGTGCAGGGTGGGCCTGGGGACCCCCAAAGATGGGGCCCCACTGCCACCAGGTGGGCTGGAAGGTACCTGGAGAGGCCCAGGCGCTTGTGCCCCCACCTGCACGCGTGTGTCCCGTCCCGAGCCTTTATCACAAAGCCCTGAGGGGCGGGCAGGGAGAGAGGCAGCTGGGGAGCTGTGGGCAGCTCTGAGCTTGGAAACAGTTGTGCCTCAGTCTGCACGTGGGTGTGCACCCCCAGGGGAGCCGTGTGGGCCATGTGGGCCTGTGCCTGAGAGATGAGTGTGCCCTGGCAGGTGCCACATCCCAGGGCAGGCCTCAGGCACATGCCTTGCTCTCTGGGAGCCCTGGGAAACTCAGGGAACCTCGCAACTCCACGGCCCTTTCTAGGCGGCCTCCTTTGGGTCCAAGCTTTGCTCACTGGATCCTCCCCTGAGGGGACATGTGGGGAGCCTGGGAAGGAGCCTATCCCCATCCTGTCAGGGACCTCTCTGTTCCTGGTGTGTGTAGCTCCCCTCTGAGCTGGGCAGAGGGCATGGCCCGAGGGCAGGACCCTGGGACCCAGGCCTGGCCATGCCCCTGACTCAGGGCTGTCCCATGGCTGGCACCTCCCCCCTGATAGAACCTCAGCACCTTTGCTGTGGATTGGGAATAATCGTCTGGTTCCCGGGGACAGGTGAGGACTCAGTGCCACAAAGAACACCACAGTGGACACGGTGACAGGCCACGTGGCTGGCCAAGCAGTTATTATTCTGGATCCCGGGAGCTGCAGGCCTCTTCTCGGCCTGCCCTACTTCACCTGCTCAGGTAGCTGCAGTTGGTCATAAACTTGGAGGTGCTGGAAAAAGAGTCCACCATACCAGTGCTGGCCATGGCCCAAGGACTCGAAGCTCAGTACCTGGGCTAAGGTCCTGAGGTCCTGAGGCTGGTGGAAGGCATCAGTGAGTGCCGTTTCAAGGTCCAGGCTGTGCCAGGGCACCATAAGGGTGAGCCCAGTAGAGATAAGGATGTTGGTACCAACTACCAGGGCAAGTGAGATGGCGATGGCCATAGGCATGGCTCGCTTTGGGTTCTGGGCCTCCTAGGTGGAGGCAGCAATATAACCAAATCCCACGAAGGTTTAGAAGCAGATGGTGGCACCTATCATGATTCCAGAGAAGCCGAAGGGTGCAAAGCCGCCCTCCTCAGCACTCCACTTGTGCAGGCAGGCCAGGACACACCCCAGGATGATCATGAAGAGGACGATGACCAGGCTGATGGCAAGGAAGGTGTGGTTGAGCCAAGAAGAGATGCGAGCCCCACAGGAGATGAATGTGGAGACCAAAAGTATGATGCCAGCAGCCAAGAAGTCTGGGTACTGAGCAAGGAAGGGCACCTGCCACATGCCTGTGTGGGCCTCAGTGAAGCTGCGGATGTGGGGGCTGAAGATGGCATCTAGGTTGCAGCTCCAGGCACGGCACTCAGCGGTGCCACTAATGAGGCACTGGAAGAGCACGATCCAGCCAAGGAGGAAGGCCCACAGCTTGCCCATCGACAAGTAAGTGAACAGGTAGGGAGAGCCGGTTTGGGGCACACGCACCTTGAACTCTGCATAGCATAAGGCTGCCAGCAGGGAAGCCGTGGCGGCCACAACAAAGGACATGATCACTGCTGGGCCGGCCATCTCCTTGGCCACAGCACCTGTGAACACGTAGAGGCCCATGCCTACTGTGGCACCCACACCCAGCAGGGTCAGGTCCAGCATGCTCAGGCAGCGCCTCAGAGACGTCTCCCTGGTGGACTCTTCCAGTGTCTTCAGCCGGTTCATCTTCTGGCAGAAGTGTGCCAGGCTGGTGATGCTCGGCAGCCCCCGGGCCATGGTGGGCAGCTGAGAGGAGCACCAAGCCAGCTGTCTGTACTTATGAGGGCCAGAGGGAGTGACAGGCTGCCCAGCCAGGCCCTGAAGAGCCCTCAGTCCTTGCTCAACACTGTCCTGGGGACCCAAGCCTGGAACCACTGGCTAACTGGAGGGCTGGGATGAGGCAGGGGTCAGAGCTCGCAAGCAGGGTGGGCAGGAGGTCACAGGGAAGCATGGAGACCCCTTCTGCCTGACTCACAGGCAAGGGAGGGAGCCTGGTTGAGCCGGATCTAAGTGCGTCTGGAAGGGGCCCTGAGGGTGGGGAGGGGGCAGCCCCAGGGAGCCCAGCTGGGAACCACTGCCGTGGTCTGGGATCCCAAAGCAGGGTGGAAACCTGAGGCTTCCCAGGAGCTGGGCAGGCCTCCAGGACCTGGAGCAGGAGTGACTCTGTGGCCCTGGGCTGGCCTCAGACAGCTGTGTTCATCCCCCATCCTCTGCCCCACCAGACTGGTGTATCAGCGCAGCCCCTGGAAGTGAGGGGTGCCTTTGGCCCTGAGCCTGCTGCCAAAGCCCTGCACCCCACCCCTGCTCCCTGACACACTGCTGCCTTTTCGCCACCAGAGCCACTTTCACTATGCTCCTGTCTCCAGGTACCTTAGCCTTGGCCTCCTCTCTGGCCTGAGTCCCTTCCTCCAGGACTTGCTGTGACTCACCTGGCGTCAACACCACTGCCCCTCTGTTCACAAGGCCTGCCCCCACCCCTGGGCACCAGATCCAGCATGGGCCATGCCTCATAGTCACGCACGAAATTAACCCCCCTAACCACACCTCTCATGGTCAAGACCAGAGCTCACCAGTTTCTAGAGAAACCGTATTACTTTGCCTGGCACCAGGTAAATGACTAGCCCAGGTCACCAGTGTGGCCTTGGGTGGCCGGTGGAGGTTATGTTCCAGGTCTGGGGGGTGTAGAGGTCTGGACCCCACCCGCTTTCCACTGCTGCAGACTCCCTCCTTGATCCCTCATCCCAACACACGTACTCCACCAGCTGGGCACCGTACAGGCTCCTCAACACTGGGAGGTGTGGGGGCTGCCAGGGTCAGGCGAGACTCTGGAAGATGAGGGTATGAATCTGGCTGAGAGGCCCTGGGCAGTCCCTGACCTCCCGGCACAAGGGGATGGCGGGAAGCCACCCTCATCCATTGATGAGGGAGTGCCCGGCTTTGGGGAGTGTTCTGTAAGTTGGCAGAACTCATGCTGGCTGTTCTGAGCTTCTAGCTACAGATAGTGTCCTGAAAGGAGGCAAGCAGACTCCTGGGGAGCCCTCCAGCCCTCGAGCTTGGGGCACCCTAGGGCCCCTCAGACACCAGTGGCAGCCCCTCCTAGCCCAGGAGCATCTGTCAAGCCTAGGGACCCTGGGGGACCCTAACCGCAGCTCCCCACTTGTGGATATCCACGAGAGGTATTGTAGACTGAGCATCTACTCCATGCCAGTCCCTGCATCACAGGAGACATACCATGTGTCTCATCATGTGACCATCACAAACCCCCCTCAGGCTTATTTATTCCTGGGGCTGAGGGGTCTTTGTCCTTCTGCTCCTCCCACTTCTTTGAAAGTGGAAAGGTTGGTGTGACAGGTGTTAACTTGTTTACAGCAAAATGACGACAATCCATCCAAGCAAAGCAAAACGAAAACAGATATCCTCTTCCCCAAGAACTTTCTCCATGTTGTCAGGTTTGTATGTGGTTTGTGGAAGAGGACTTTAGGGGCACCTGCAGGCTGTCTGGCTCAGTGGGCTGGGGACAGGATGGTGGACTCCCAGACAAGATGGTGCCACTTAGAACACTCTGCCTTAGCCAGCCCCCTTGTTCCCTTCTGATGTTTGGCTGATGTTGTCTTGAGAAACTTCTCAGATGGGCTCCCACTTCCTGCAGGGATGACATCTCCCTTACCTCGCTCCTGTGGGGCCTAAACATAAGTGAGCAGATGTTCCTTGTTCTGAAATGCCTTCACAAAATCCAGAAAAATGCATTTCCCACCAAGAGGCTTGGGCAGTTTTGTAACAGGAGCTCCCCTAAGGCCTTACCGATGACAACCTGAGAGGTGGTGTGCAGGGTTTCAGAGCACTGACTTCTTATCTACCCAGAGAGGGGCTCTCACCACACCCCCTTTCACAGGCACCAACATCCAATGGATATTCGTGGCCACACGTGGTTGACATAGTAAACTGTAAACTTCCAGGGACATGATTGGGCCGAGTGCTGGACCACACTGAGCAAGGCAGTTACACAGAGCAACACCAGGAAGATGCAGTGAAGACAAAGCACCGAAAAATACAAGAAGAAGGAGAGAGAACACTTCCCACCTCATCCTACAAAGTCAGAATCACCCCAACACCAAACCCAACAAAGACATCACAAGAAAAGTAAACTACAGACCAACATCTTTTATGAATATAGGGGCAGAATTGCTCAACTGAATACTAGCAAATCGAATCGAGATGTAAAAAGGACCAAGTGGGACCTATCCCAGGAATGCAAGATTGACTTAACATCTGAAAATCAATCAATGTCATATACCATACAAATAGAAAAAGGACAAAAACCACATGATTGTCTCAACAGACACAGAAAAAGAGAGTGAACAAATCTGGAATAGAAGAGACCACCCTCAAACTGATAAAGACCATCTACGAAACACCCTTGGCTACTACACACAACGGTGAGAGACTGGAAACTTTCCCTTTGATCAGGAACAACAGCAGGATGTCCTCTCTCACCACTTGTACTCAACATTTTACTGGAGTCTCTGGCCATGGCAATTAGGGGAGAACATGATATAAAAGGAATCCAGATTAGAAAGGGAGAAGTAAAACTATCCCTAGCCACAGATGACATGATCTTATGTAGAGAAAATCCTGAGGAGTCCTCACAGAAAATACTAGAACTAATAAACAAGTTCAGCAAAGGTGCAGTATACAAGATCAATATACAAAAATCAATTGTGTTTCTATTAATGAAATTAATGAAATTAAGAAAACAATTCTGCCTACATAGCATCAAAAAGAATAAATTTATGTATAAATATGCTAAGAATAATTTAACAAGATAAATGCAAGACTTGGGCACTGATAACTACTAAACATCATTGAAAAAATTTAAAGACCTAAATAAATTGAAAAATATCCCATGTTCACGGACTGGAAAACTTAATATGGTAAAGATGGCAACACCCCCCAAATTGGTCTGCAGATTCAGTGCAATCTCTATCAAAATCCCAACTGCCAAATTTTAGAAATTATCAAGTTGATCCTAAAATTCATATGGAGATGCAAGGGACCCAGAAGAGCCAAAACAATTTTGACAAAGAACAAAGTTGGAGGAGTTACACATTCTAATTTCTAAACTGACTACAAAGCTACAGGAATTAAGACAGTATGTTACTGAAATAAGGATAGACATATAGAGCAATGGAATAGAATTGAGAGCCCAAAAGTATGGGTCATTGATTTTTAAAAATTTATGGGGAATTTAAGCTGGCATCTTTTCATAGGCTTATTTGCCAACTGTACATCTTCTTTGGTGAGGTATATGTTCAGACGTTTTGCCCATTTTTCATTGGGTTGTTGATTTTTGAGTTCTTTGTATATTTTGGATAACAATCCTGTATCAGATATGTCTTTTACACATATTTTCTCCTAGTCTGTGCCTTGTCTTCTCATTCTCCTGATGGCCAATTGGTTTTTGACAAGAGTGCCAAACAATTCAATGGGGGAAACAATAGTCTTTTCAACACACTGTGCTGCAACAACTGGATGTCCACATGCAAATGAATGAAGTCAGATTCCTACCTCACACCACATACAAAACTTAACTCAAAATGGATCAGAGACCTAAATCTAAGAGCTGAAACTATGCAGGCATAACTTGGAGATATTGCAGGTTCAGTTCCAGACCACCGCAATAAAATGAATGTCACAATAAAGTGAGCCACATGAATTTTTTGGTTTCCCAGTGCATATAAAAGTTATGTGTACTATAGTTTATTGAGTGTGCAATAGTGTTATGTCTAAAAAAGAATGTACGTACATTAATTTAAAAATATTTTATTGCTAAAACGTGCTAACCATCATCTGACCCTTCAGTGAATAGTTATCTTTCTGTTGGTAGAGAGTTTTGCCTCCATGTTGATGGCTGCTGACTGATCAGGGTTGTGGTTGCTGAAGGCTGGGGTGGTGGTGGGAATTTCTTAAAATACAACAACAATGAAGTTTGTCGCATCGACCGACTCCTCCTTTCACAATTTCTCTATAGCATGCGATGCTGTATGATAGCATTTTACCCACACTAGATCTTCTTTCAAAATTGGAGTCAAACCTCTCAAAACCTGCCACTGCTTTATCAACTAAGTTTATGTAATATTCTAAATCGTTGTCATTTCAACAATTTTCACAGCATCTAAACCAAGAGTAGATTCCATCCCAAGAAATGACTTTCTTTGCTCATCCTCATCCATAAGAAGCAACTCCTCATTCATTAAAGTTTTATCATGAGATTGCAGCAATTCAGTCACATCTTCAGGCTCCACTTCTAATTCTAGTTCTCTGGCTATTTCCACCACATGTGCAGTGACTTCATCCACTAAAGTCTTGAAGCCCTCAAAGTCATCCATGAGGCTTGGAATCAACTTCTTCCAAACTCCTGTTAATGCTGATATTTTGACCTCTTCCCATGAATCACAAATGTTCTTAATGGCATCTAGAATGGTGAATCCTTTCCAGAAGGTTTTCAATTTACTTTTCCCAGATCCACCAAAGTAATCACTATCTATGGTATCTATAGCCTTATGAAATATATTTCTTAAATAAGAAGACTTGAAAGTCAAAATTACTCCTGATCCATGATCAGAATTACTGCCCAGATCCTGCAGAATGGATATTGTGTTAGTAGGCATTAAAACAACATCAATCTCATTGTACATCTCCATCAGAGTTCTTGGGTGACCAGGTGCATTTTCAGTGAGCAGTAATATTTTGAAAGGAATCTTTTTTCTGAGCAGTAGATCTCAACCGTGGGTGTAAAATATTCAGTAAATCATGTTGTAAACAGATGTGCTGTCCTCCAGGCTTTGTCGTTCCATTTATAGAGCACAAGCAGAGTAGACTTAGCACAATTCTTAAGGGCCCTAGGATTTTCAGAATGGTAACTGAGCACTGGCTTCATCTTCAAGTCAACAGCTGCATTAGCCCCTAACAAGAGAGTCAGCCTGTCCTTTGAAGCTTTGAAGCCAGACGTTAACTTCTCTCTAACTGTGAAAGTGCTGGATGGCATTTTCTTCCAATGTAAGGCTGTTTCATCTACACTGAAAATCTCTGGTTTAGTGTAGCCTCCTTCATTAACCATCTTAGCTAGGTCTTCTGGAGAACTTGCTGCAGCTTCTACATCAGCACTTGCTGCTTCATGTTGCACTTTTTTGTTATGAAGACAGCTTCTTTCCTTAAACCTAATGACCCACCCTCTGCTAGCTTCAACTTTTCTTCTGCAGCTTCCTCACCTCTCTCAGCCTTCACAGAATTGAAGAGAGTTAGGGCCTTGCTCTGGATTAGGCTTTGGCTTAAGGGAATGTCATGACTGGTTTGATCTTCTATCCAGACCCCTAAAACCTTCTCCATGTCAGCAATAAGGCTGTTTTGCTTTCTTATCATTCGTGTGTTCACTGGAGTAGCACTTTTAATTTCCTTCCAGAACTTTTTTTTTGCATTCACAGCTTGGCTAACTGTTTGGTACAAGAGACTTAGCTTTCAGCTTATCTCAGCTTTTGACTTGCTTTCCACACTAAGCCTAATCATTTCTAGCTTTTGATTTAAAGTGAGAGACGTGTGACTCTTCCTTTCACTTTAACACTTAGAGGCCATCATAGAGTTATTAACTGGCCGAATTTCAGTATTGTTGTATCTCAAGGAGTGGGGGGCCTGCGGAGAGGGAGTGAGGGAGGGAACGGCCAGTCAGTGGAGCAGTCAGAACACACGCAACATTTATCCATTAAGTTTCCTGTCTTACATGGGCCCAATTCATGGTATCCCAAACAATTACAATACTAACATCAAAGATCACTGATCACAGATCACCGCAACAAATTGATAATAATGAAAAAGTTGGAAACGTTCTAAGAATTACTAAAGTGTGACACAAAGACACAAAGTGAGCTAATGCTGTTGGAAAAATAGCACCAATAAACTTGCTTGTTGTGGGGTTGCCACAAACCTTTGATGGGGTTCAGGGCAGGCCACCCCAAGATGTGCCACTCTGGTATGTGGATTATTTTGAGCTAAAGAGAATTAAGGGTCAGACAACTCTGAAAGAAATTTTAACCCTCCCCCAAATTGCCTAAAAGCATTTAAGATAGAAGGGCTTGTCCAAGGAAGGAGCTCTTACCATAGGTAATTGCCAATAATTACTGATTTTTAAAGCTGCCTTTATCCCTGACTGACAGTATTAACTCTCAGGCAAATGCCCCACAATCAGAAAAAAACAATTGGATACAAAAGCCAGCCAAACAATTGTCAGATGGATTCGACACTGGGCCACAGTACTTCCTGTAGCTCCTTTTCTTGTGGTTTTTGGCTTGCACTTATGTTCCTCCAAATGGGACATAAGTGCAGATGGGGGATAGCTAAGGGACTAAAAGACAGTTGGCTTTGCCCTGGCAGCCACAAAATTTTCAATCCAATTATTTCCCAGTGCACTACTACCAATCTCACCAAGTTTCTGGGCGAGATCAGTGTACCCCAGGAAGTCCCCCCAGGCCCACACTGCCCTTTGCGGCACTCCAATGGACTTTATAGACCTGCCCCTGGCTTTAGGCTATTCTCACTGCTTGGTTATCACCTGCATGGTTGGTGGATGGGCTGAATGCTATCCGACTAGAC